CCTTCCCGGGGCTGTAGCTCAGCACGGGTCCTCGGTGTGCGCTGGACATCTCTAATATCGAGGCTTTGTCCAAGTCAGTCCTAAGACTGCTTCTTCTAGGTCGTGTTCTGTACCAAAGATTACATCGCTCAGCACTATAAAGACGTGTCAAGTCTAAGTTTTTGGTTTTGTTTTTCTTCTCTGCAGAAGGCCATCAAGGAGAAGGACATACCCATCGAAGGCCTGGAGTTCATGGGCCCAAGCAAAGGAAAAACTGAAAACTCCTCTTGACCTCAGCTGTATGGATGGAGTCACTGGTGGGAGCCTTTCGGCGAAGCAACATCACCAGGCAAAGACTAGACGCCACCTGGATAAGACCTTTGTTAAGCTGCTTTCTAGGAAGCGAGGAATCATCTCTGCTTGTAAAAACAAACAGCCACACGCACAAAAAAAGGCTGGATCGTGTGTAACTACTGCCTCCTTGTCAATGAATTTTGGTGGTGGTTCAGCATCTAACAGTGTGAAAAGCCGTTTGAACTAACTTCCTGTTGAATGTACTCTGTAATGGGAGAATGCTTATTAGAGTGGGCTGAGATAGTAGTTGCTTTGTGCTTTATTTATGTAACACTTGAAAGTGTTTAAAAAGAGTATGAAGGAGGTTGATTTACTTTGTCTCCTCTCTATGCTGCTGAATTTTGGTGGAAGAAGTTTGTGTTACGTGATCCTTTGCCGAGGGGCTAAAACGTTGTTTTGTGTCAGCCACAGAGATGGTATAAAAGCACTCTATTGGGCCTGCAATAACTTAGCTAAAATAAATGCATCCAGGTTATATTTTGTTCAAGTAGATAACTGTCCGGTAGAATCTGGGTGTGATCTCTGGGAGGGACAGAGGTGGCCTGCAACAGAAGCTGAAGAGGGCACTTTTAATGCAGAGGCTACTTTTTCAGCCTTTTCTGAGGTACTGAAACAATCTTGAACTTGAATTCTCTCTCCTTTATCATTACGCGTTCCTGCAGCAAAACCGCAGCCCAGCCCTGGCCGTCCTTTTCCACACTACCACGAAGCACCAGGCTGGCCACAATCACCGTTAGGCTTTTGCCTGTGGTAGCTAAAGCGTGTGGAGTGAGGGGAACGGCGGGGTGAAGCCTGACAGCTGATAACGTCAAAAGCCCCAGCTGCCGGTGGGGATCTCACCGGCTCACGAAGCTGCTCCTGAACTGCGTGTACTTTACACCTAGGAAAGCAAATGGAAGTTATTTGTGCGGGCTTGTAAACTGCAGAAATGCTTGCACTAACTAGAAAAAGGGAGTTTGGAAGAGAAGCAAGGGGTCAGGATCCATCCCCTCCAGTGGCCCTGAGAGCGCTGTGGCAGGGGAGGAGGTTTCCGTTGATCCTCATACAGGGACAGGCAAAAGCCGTCCCCTCTCGTTACACCAACACAGGTGAAAGAGTAAAAAATACCACGAGTGGGGATCAAGGAGAAGTCAACTTCCTAATTCTCCTAGAATTACAGTGAGGAAAAAAGTGAACTTCCCTCTCTTAGCTTTTAGGCACTACCTGAAGGATCATTCAGAGGTTTTACTTTTTCAAAAAATTAAAAGAAAAGTTGTTCTCAAACATAATAGCTGGCTCATCTGCAGCACAGCCCCTCAGCAATGACCCCAGACAGCGAGAGCAGCGTGGGACGCGAGGGAAGGTAGGAGCCGCAGCGGGCTGGGGCCGTCGGTCCCTGCGTCGCAGTGTGGCCTCGACAGGTCGGCTGGGGCGCAGGCAGGCAGCCCGGGTCAGCCACGCTCCTCTCGGGTGCGTGAGGCAGCCAGTGCGATGTCGGTACAGGGGTTAAACGTGGCACTTGACAAGCTGTTGACGCTTAAACTGCTGGGTCGCTCAGGTATAGATAAAAATAGTAAGTTAAGGGAAAGGTCTTTCTAAGAGCACTGTAAATACCATTTTTGGGACTGTCAAGTATGCGGCTTTTTTTTTTTAAGGACTAACACGTACAACCAGTTTGCTTTTCTGTGATCTTCATATAGGAATAAAGGTAGTGCGATTTTGTCAGCTAGCTTTAAAACTACTGTGTCCATTAGTGCCTCGTTCTGTGCCTTTAACACAGAAAAGCTTGTCTTAGCAGTCATTTTAGTAGTAAGCGGATGAAAAAATTGCATTGAAACGCGGGGAAGGGTGTCCCACAGTGCCCACTTTGAGATTCTCGCTTGCCATCCATCACTGCTTTCAGCAGCAAGATGTCAAGTCAGCTGCTGCATTCTTCCTTTTGGCAAAAACAGCATTAATGACAACTAAGACATAGCTCTCTTTCATACCATGCGAAAAATACGGAAGTTGCAGAAGGAGTTGGAAAATGGTTGACTTGCAGAGAAGAAAAACTTCAAAATTAATATTGTACTGGAACAGATTCAGGGCTTTAGAATTGGCTGTTAGCTGTGAAAGGTAATTAAGCTCTTCTAGGTCAAGAAGCTTCTGAGTGACACAGTGTACATTATACAGACGTATGCAATGGAGCAAAAACTGTGTTTTCATTTGCAACACCTGTATGAGAGACTTTGTACAACCAGACTGCAGCTTTATGAACAGCAGAGTTGTGAGCAACATACGTGCTGATACACTAGAAAATTTGAGAGCCGAAGATTAACATTGTGAAGGCACACAGAGCTTAATTAAACATCTTTGCTGCCACTCCCTCTCCCAGAAGGGAGAGAGAGAAAATTGCCTTCATGGCTGTTAATAAATATTGCAATGGCTGATTATGGAGATGCGCTTCAGGATATACTGAATTGTAACCTACAGTATTAACCCGATGTTCATCTGGCTGTGAGCTGTGGGTTTACAATGGTCAGTTCAACCAGACATGGAGAATGCGAAATTGAGTCCTACGCTGAATGCGCTCCTGTTGTTAGCGTTACCAGATAGAGGAGCAGATGTTAACATTCAGGCAGTCAAACAACCCCTTTGCTCCTGCACTGTATCCCGTGGGAAGCCTCGATGTTTTAAGCAAACGCTGAACTGAAGAACTTCTAAAGATTCAGATTAATACAAAAAGTCAGATCCTAAATTCAAGTTTGGAGTTGTTTATTTAAAGGACCTCTACACAAGTACAGACAGAGGTCACAACGCTATTCAGCTTCATTGCAGAAGGAATGTGGAGTTTCTGAAATGATGGTTCCCTAAACGATGGTTCCCACACAACATTCTGGTCCAAGACGGGAAGAGCCAAAGTTCTGGCTGTGGTCAGGATCTTAGTTTTCATCTTCATAACCGGTTGGGAGAGCGTTAACGTGGGGGTTGTGGAACAAAGTTTTGTTCCCGTCACCCCAGGGGAAAGGCTGTTGGGAGAAGAAGGAGGATAAGCCAGTGGCAGCCAACTGCACGATCTCTACAGCACAGGAAATCAACAGCAACCTGGACTCAAACATCACACAGCCCGACGGGCTGATGAATTAAGCGAGCTGGCATCTGTTCCCGGGCTGTAGGAAGCAGGAGCTGGAACAGCCTCCCTTAGCTGGGAGCCACCATCCCGAGATAACAAGATCTTTGCTCTTGCTTAAACGTCAACTGTGCTACACTATGAGGACCCCAGTTTTGAGAATTTGGGATCTCCTCTGTTCGCTTTTAGATCTGTATTACTTTAAGGTAAGTACAGCAGCTCTAGGACTGACATGCTTTTCAGCAAGACATTAGCAGGATTACTTGGGGGTGGGAAGGCCAGTGAATACGATGGGTACTTCACCTGAGCGGTGAGAAACTCTTGCTGCCTCAGAAACAAAGCCATGAGTTAAGATCGTGGCTACACACGCAGCACCTCATGTAGTCGACAAGAAAGCAAGAGACGCTGCGGTAATCCCAGACGAAGCTCTGCAATCGTGGGGAAAAAAGAGGGCCTTTGATCAGAGGCGGCAAACGTACCTTGGTCCTGATCCGGAGGTGAGCGTAAGGAACAAACGCGGGCCGCTCGTGCTCGTGCTGCGCTTTCAAGTAGCAGTTCAGCATGCACACGCCGACCCCGGGCAGGGCCACCACGAAGGTCAGGAGCTTCCACAGGCGGGCTGGTAGGAAGCGAGACACGAATGAGAACAGCAGTCGCTATGTCGTTGGCGCTAGTGACCCGAGAGCACGTTAAATGCAATTAACATGCAAATTAACGAGGAGCTACGCTCCA